ACGGAGCTTGTTAATTTTCTTGATTTTGGTATCCGTGATTCGCTTCGTGAACGGATTCTTTAGTGTGGTAGCGAGGACGCGTTCGATCTCCGGCGCTGAGGTTGTGACATGGTGTATCTTAGAGTGAATGTCTTTCATCGACTTTCGCAACTCGTCGATCTGGGATTTGGTGGCCGCGTCTAGTCCATCGGTCGTTTGATCTCGGGATGGCTGGGGAGGTTGCTAACGCTCGGCACGTATCATTCGACGCAAGGGAGATCGGTCCTAGGGAGTCGACTGGTGAAGCTCTGGCAGAGGAGTTGTTCGATAGGGTTGAAGGGGGTCGTTTGTCTGATCCTGACGAACCGCTCCGGCGATTGACGCCTTTCCGTTGCCGTCGCGACGGTAACGTAGAGCAGTTACCCGACCTTCCCTCGAGATACTCTCGACCGTCTTTCGTCGATGAGCAAGATTTAGGAAGTGTTGAGCCAACTTTGTCGAATCATGAAGGGGTCGTCGGGTTGTTAAGGAGATGTCGAGCGTTAGCAACCTCCCCAGCCATCCCGAGATCAACGTCGGCCGTCGCAATCAGAGTACTGCGATGCTCCGTTGTCGCTGCCGGCGATAACCTAGAACAAGGCAGCTGATATCCGATGAAATCGAACCAAACGCAATAGCCTTCCCCTTTTCAGATCTGGAAAATCGCTCGGGATTAGACATCACAAAGCCGGTTAACAAAGCCTTGTTACCTTCGCAATCGATCAAACCCACCGATCGGAGAAGGAGACTAGCGGCGGCGGCCGGACGAACTCGACGCGTCCCGACGGCGGAACAAACCTAAATCGGGGGAGAGAGTGAGCTGGCCGGTTGATTGTCGACCGATTGACGAAGAAAAGAGACTAGCGGCGGCGGCCGGTCAACCGCCAAGCTTCCCGACGGTGGAACAAGCCCGAATCGGGGGAGAGAGTGAGTTGGCCGGGTGATTATCGGCCGATGGGCGAACACACCGACGGCAGTAGTCAAATCCCGGCGGTAATTGTAGAGAAGACGGTGCACGGCCGAACCAAAGGAGGGGAGGAGCAACCGTCGGCCAAAAAAAAAGAGAAAAGGGGAAGGGGAGAAAATGAAAGAGAAAGAAGAAAGGAGAAGGAAGAAAGAGAAAGTATCTTGTTGTGTGGTGGGAGAGAAGAATAAAAGGAGTGGAGGAGAAAGACCCTCCTATTTATAGAGAAAAAAAAGGAAATCGCGGGATTCAAGAATATATGCCATTATTAGGCCTACTAGGCCCGTTAAACACCCGGAAGCAAAGGATAGCAAGATTCTCGAAATAAAAAAAAAACGACTCGAAGCGGCACGATGCGCGACGGACCCACGACGAACGGACACGACAGTTATTATCCGAGCCAACCCTTACAGTCCCACTGTGAAGAAATCGCCTTTCCCACCAGCGGGCTGGGGGGGGGGGCTTACTGTAGGAGAGGAATTCCATACCTCCCCATTAGGCCCATCAAATAACTAGGCCCAACCGATCGTCGTCCATAAGCGGTCCAGAAGCAAAGTCTGCTAGGAAGACGGGCGGTTTAAATGACAATTAATCCACCGATTATCATAATAAACCGGTCGAACCGGGCAGCGACGGTCGACCGACTTATCCCTGAATAAAATCCCATCAAACGGTTTTAGGCCCAAAACCTCCTAGGGCGAACGAGCAAGACAATAGGGTCAAGCGAGAGCTATAAAAGGAAGTGGAAGGGCAAAAGGAAAAGGGATCCAAAAATTGAGACAAGAACACTGACGGCGAGATTTAGGATTTTACCGACGATCGAACCTCTTTGTAATTCGGTCGGACTTTCATAAAGCTCCGACCTTTGTTCTTTCCTTGAATCTTTCTGTAATCTTCTCTTATTATCAACTCTGATTAATAAAACGCCTTCGAAAAACCCACAAATCGAGTTTAGTTTTCCAGTCAGTCGACCGTACAAAACTCGGATTCAACAGAACCCACATGTAGTATAACTGCACTATTCATATTTGGATAATTGATACATCTCATCTAACCGAAAATATTCATTGCATTTATGATTCATACTTTATTAAGTGTCTGACTTAATTGTGTTTTGGTCTTTATGCTATTGTTAGCGTAATTTGTGTTTGCCTTTTGATAGACTTTTTGTATTTTTTATTGAAAGAGATGTTGAAGCCGTTGTGTCTCACATGGGTGAATCAAT